TCCGCCCTTGGGCGCGCGTGGCGGATGCCCATGTTTCATCCCCAGCTGATGGCGGCGACGGCAATGTTGGAGAAGCTGCAGAAGTACTTCAACGCGCTGAACGAGGCGGTATTGGGCAAGCGGTTGGGGACTGCGCCTTTCAGCATGATTGCCGGCCGCTCCGGAGCTGCGGACTATCCCGACGAGGGAGCAGATGCCTGACACGTTGGCACAGTCAGCGGTTGAGGTGCTACTATCTCATGTGTCGGCATTGTCACATTCAGGAACCCCTTCCGATAGGAAGGAGATCCTTGGTAGGGATGGGTGCCCGTTCGGGAAATCATGGTTCGAAGATGACCCTGAGGGAGCCACTTGGCCTGGACACCATATGGCTGGAGGTGTCGCTGTCCCACTGAAGCCGAAGACGAAGATCGTGTGGGGAAAGCGACCACATGTGGATGACGAGGGCGATGTGGATCCTGGGGCGAGTTCTTCGGGGCAACCGAGGACCGAGCCGGCCCCCGATAGGGGCGCCGGGTCAGGAAAGGATGATGATGTGACCCTTCCTGACATTGGGAAACTGTCCGTGACGGAGAAGAAGAAGGACGACATGGACGTGGATCAGGAAGGCTCCAAGAAGGGCTCCACCGGGACGGAGGAGCCCACGCCTCGGGGTACCGAGGCTGGGAAGGAAGGCCCGAGCAAGGCCTCCAACTACAGAGGGGCTACTGCTGAGGAGTACCGAAAGGCTGCTCGGGAATACGTGTACAGCGGGGAGGGAGATGATCGAAGAATCCTTCCCAAGAATACTCCAATCAACATGGAGAAGTCGTTGCCGGCTGAGGTCGCGCTCCTGATTCCTAGAGCTGTGGCCACGCAAGAGGAGGCTGAGGAAGCCGAGAGGACCGCGATGGAGGCCATCCGCGGGGACTATAGGCTTCCGGATGTGGGTCAGGACGACAGGGAGAAGGTCGACCCTTACACCGTGACGGACGAAGACTTGGCTGCGTCGGTAGACGCGTTGACTAGGAGGTTGAGCAATATGCCTGGGTGGTCGGGGAATTTGATCGACCCTGCGAAGTCTGCTGAGCTGGTCGCGGCGAGATGGGGCGGTAAGGCGAGTTATGACAAGCCTGAGGCTCCTCTGACTGAGGCTGGGATGAAGAGTGCGTCATTGGAGGATCGTGCCTACGCACTATCGCAGCTGAATCAGATGGTGAACTTCCACAAGAAGCACCTCTGCTCTGGGCGAGGAGCGCCTCTGGTGAGTGCAGCTGCCCCTAGTGGACCCTTTGCTCCTGACCAGCTGGATGATAGCAGGAAGTTCAGGCCTAGTGGGGCGGCGAGCAAGATGACCTACAATCTTGTGATACTGGATGGGAAGGAGGATTATCTTGCCGATAGGCGAGAGATCAATCCGGAGTTAAGGGAAACGGGAGTTATCCCTGATGAGGCCGTCACTTGCCAGATTGTGGTTCCCTCGAAGACGAGGTTGGGTGAATACCTCCCGAACTACGAGGAGACCGTGGGCACTGTTGCAGGACGGGAGGCGGCGAAGGAGTTGATGAGACTGCTCTCGTGCGATTTCGACGGCTTGGTCATCAATTCAAAGAGAGTCTCGGAGTTATTCGAGGAACGTGTGCTGAAGGAGACCGGACGTGAGGCTGGAAACTGGGTGAAAAGTGACCAGGCCATCTGGTTTCTGAAGGAGATTTCGGGCATGGAGAACGCTGAGATGTCTTGGAAATTCTTCATTCCGACGCTTAAAGCTTTCCCGATAGGGCAAGTGGAGGCGATGCTCATGGTCATGTACGACGGGGATGGCGTTCTCCTCAAGGAGAGCACCAGGTTGGTTGCCGTTAGGCACACGCGGATCGGACGCGACTTGAGTTACAGTGCCGTTAGGCACAGGTATACTCAGGAAGATGCACCTGGCGGATCTCTGATGTATGAGATGCATTGGAATGAACTCCCCATGGTGGGATACGTCATCATGAAGTTCTCGGACTTTCGGAAGGCGGTTCAGCTCCAAAGGGTGAGGCGAAATGGAAAGGCCATGATCGAGATATTGATCACGAGGCCCGATGTGTACGAGACCATTGGGGATGGTAGGCAGGATGAGGGCCTGATCCCACTTGTGGGAGCCATGGCGCCGGATGCTGAGGTATCGCCTTCGTGGTATGTCAGGGACAGGCTGCGGAACTACTCCGGTAGGTACGTGGTGGTAATGGTGGATCTTCGGGTGCACTGGTCCTTGGTTGGACCCGTGTTTTTGACGAGAAGGAAGACTCTTGCCGTTAGGAACGAGATCCACATGGGGGCTTGGAAGGCGGCGTATATGTACGATGATTACACGATAGTGTACCATCGGGCATGGGACTACGGTGACTTCACCCCCGTTAGGGGAGAGCACAAGCGATCACGGGAAGAGATCAGGCTGAATGTGACTGCCACGTTCTGCTTGAGGTGCGCGGAATTGATGCCGAATGGGATGCACTTGTGTCCCGGGTGCGCGCTCCCGGTCTTTTACCCGAACTTTATCCCCAACGCGGAGGAAAAGGACTTCGAAACGTGCCACATCGTGCCGGAGTGGGTGAGGACCATGGGGCAGTTCAAGCCCAGGAGGATTCCCTCCGAAGTGGTCGGAGTCATCAAGAGGAATTTGATTTCCTATTCAATGGCATCCGATCTAAGGATGACGGTGCAGAGCGGCATCAGACTTCCCCCTTATCTTGGTGAAGACAAGGGAGGTGTCGATGCGGCGTGGGATGAGCTGGCGAAGGTGCTCTTCCAATTCTCCTATGTGTCCGGGATTTCGGCCTCGGATGCGTTTGTGGAGAAGTGGGTGGCGAAGCACCTGATCAAGACCAACCAAGTCGATAGATTTGAGTCGGTCACGGAGTACTTCCGGGCCAACCCAAGACACGCTGCTCAGTGGGGTAGGCGTATGACGACTTCCGTTAGGAAGTTCGCTCGTCATGACACGTACTTGTCATTCTATATTCCGATGGCATACGTGATTGGTTCTGCGGCTGGTCATCTGACCCCATTGTACCCGACCCATCGAAAGGACGTGGACATCCTGGAGAGTCATGCGTTGATGTCGCAGCTCAGGAAGTACATGGTATCGGAGACAGGGTACGATGAGAAGAAGAGGTTGAAGGAGGCGATAGCCAAGGTGCAGAAGGCGATCAGCGCCGGACAGTCGGAGCCTCCCGCACCCTTCCGTGACCCGTTCGTCTACGTTAGTGACGAAAGGGTGAGGACGGTTCTTGACGGTCGTCAACCCGAACCTTTGAACGTGGACATCGAGGGACTCCAATCGGTGCATCATGCTGCGCCGGGTCCTGGTCCCAAGCAGGAGCCGGTCCCCAAGGGCGGAAAAGGAAAAGGGAAAAAGGGGGAAAAGGGCGGTAAGGGCGGTAGTCCTTCCGGCCCGCCACCAAAATCAGGTGAAGTGCCGGGTAAAGGATCCGGTAAGGGCGGTAGCCCATCCGTCCCAAAGGCGAAGGATGACGCTGGACCTGCTCCGATGGAGGTTGATGCAGCAGCAGCTCAGCCGAAGAAGTCTTGGGCCGAGATGGTGGTTGAAGGGGCCAGGCCGAGTGCCAAGGCTAAAGTGACCCCGGTTCCTAAGGCAGAGCCGAAAGGGAAGGCTGCTTCGGCATCTGAGGCGAGGAGTGCTCCGGCTCCAAAAGCTGTGGCTAAGGAGACGAAGCAGGCCGAACCGAAGGTTGAGGTCAAGAAGGAGAAGACAGGCGGAGGTGACGCTCCCGGCGGTAGCCGCGGGTCGGCCGAAGGGCAGAAGAGAGAAAGGAAGTCCCGTTGGGATCCCGACGAGGCTGCGAAGGAGTCGACAAAGCGGGAGGCGTCCACGAGGCCTGGCGACGTCGACAGCAGACCAGGTGCGGCAGCGAGAGAAGCTAGCGGGGATGATCTTCACTCCGCGCTTGGCAGATCTTCGGCAAAGGATGCGGTAGCGCCTTTGACTGCCTCCAAGGCGATGGCAAAGAAGCCTGAAGGCGGGGAGATCCGGCTGCAGTCTGCTGAGCGGGCCGCGGCGAGCCCGGTGGAGGGTCACTTCCTGGTGCTGCCTGAGAGTTCGGTGGTGGACGCTTTCTTGACGATCTCCACCAACAGAGTGCTGAACAGGCAGGTTAGGGATTTCATCAGAAATGGTGAGGACGCGTCGGCACTGGAAGCTCTCAACCAGATCGTGACGAACTCTCAATCTGGGAGGAGGCGTAGGGAATCGGATATTTCCCGTACTCCTTCTCGGAGGTCCGTTAGGACCGTGGACACCAGGGATTCCAGAGAGTCGAGGAGGCGCAGATATCGTCCGCGGCGCGAGGATGATCGCGACAGGAGGAGGGACGATGCTCGTGATCGTCGTGATGATGATTCACTCGATCGGGAGCGGGATCGAAGGCGAGATGATCGCAGGAGATCCGAAAGGGATCGTGATAGGGACCGTGCGCGGGGCGGACGTGACCGGAGGAGACGTGACGATAGCCGGTAGGCTGAGTCACGAGGGTTGCGGCCGATAGGCTTGCGTCCGTTCTCCAATGGTCGGCGCGGTGTGGAGGTGGTGATGTTCCTCCCGGACCGCTGAGGCGCGGAGGTCATGTCTCTCCCGTACCGCTGCTGAGCTGCTGGACGTGCTCATCCGGAAGCAGTATGAGTGAGACAGTAGATGGACAAATTAATCAAACCACCAACAGACATGGCGCACACCCCCAGTACCCCCCAATGTCAATGTTACACTGCGCACGAGCACTTTTCATGTCATCGGGGTTTGATTTAATTCGTCCACCCAGCCTGATCCTCCAAACGGGCAATAACATTGAAATCGAGGGGGCAAGGGGGGCATTATAACTGTAAGGGTTTGATTAATTCGTCCACCTACGGTACGGCCAGCGTTGGTCGGCAATGGTCACGCAGACGCTATCTTTTCACGAATTTCATGCGTGGTTGCACGTGCATAGACGCAAATTGAAAGGTATGGCACAGACTGGCACAGACTACAAAGCAGACAGGAAGCGGCGCTGCTCGAATGGCAGAAGTTTGCTGAAGGCTGCCAGGGCTTGCCAGTCACTGGGGGTAAGCTCTGCAACATTGAGAGCACCCAGGGCAGAGACCTCAGCTGCCAACAGCAGGACTTTTTGCTTGGGCAAACTGGCCCGCAAAGCCAGCTCAGTCAGACCTTGGACAGGCTCATGTTGATGACCGGGCGGCGCGCATGGAAGAGTTGGGATGCTCAGGGCTTCGGCAGCATCGTGCTCTGTAGCCCCGCTGCGCACCCAGCGACTCAGGCAAACTTCACAAGGAACCGTTTCCTTCAACTGCGCAATGGTCTCTGTGCAGTTGAAAATGAGGACCCTGCTCTTCATGTGCCGGATGTCCTCCTCGTCCACGCCAGGCAAGGGCTTCCATAGATCCTGGGCTTTTGCCGTGAGGAGACAACCACGGTGCCACTCGAAATCCACATTCCCATCGTTAAACGACTGCGACACCTGCACCTCGAAGGGCTGCCCTTGGAATAGGCTGAGAAAAGTGGTGACTGGCACAGTTCTCTGACCGTATTCCACTGGGCGGAAGTCATCCCAGAACAGGAACTTCTTGTCTTTCAGAATGTTCCGGAGGGAGAAGGAAGACCCCAGCGCGGGCTTGCGGCTTGTGGAAGACCTGGCCAAATCCAAACAGGCTGTCAAAAGGCAGGACTAAAGTGGACTTCCCGGAGTTGGTTGGGCCGACGATCATGGGCGTGCGCGTCGTCTTGGAGGGACCAGCTAGCAAGATGTTTCTGAGGGCCACTGCCAGCTCAGACCGAGACAATGTTGAGAAGTTGGCCTGAAAGAAGTTGGCAGCTGCGTGAGCGTAGGTGCAAGCATCACCATGTGGGCACGGACATTCCGCCAACTCGCAAAGCCTTTCCCAATCAGAGTTGCGATCGTTGGCTGCCTTTTGCCTTGCCAGTCCCCATTCCTGCGCCTCAGCTAGGTAGTCCTTCAAGTACCGCTGCCGCTGATGCACAAAAAGCTGGGCCTGTTCAGTCCCATGGTTCTGAACGTATTCCAGCACGGCAGCCTGGGTTTCGAGGCCTTCGGCTAGGATCAGAGATGTCAGATCCAGCTTGTTGAAGCGCTGCCTCTTCTGCGAAGCAGCTTCTGCCGTTCGCTCGGCCCCCTCTCGGCGCCTTTTCCAGATCTCTGCATTCCAAGGACGCTGGGACTCCGCAAACAAGTCCAGGGCATCCCATCCCAAACTCTGCGACCACGAGACAGGGTTAAGGTCCACATCTGGCTTTGACAGGGTGGCAATGTAGCCATACCGAACCGCACTCCAGAACTGGGTGTGTGTGGAAAAGTGGCATGCCAAATGGTTCCTGGCTCGCAGTGTGTGCTTGGCAGTGGCCCAAGTCCTTGGCTGGGCCAACTGCACGGCTACATGGAAGTGCTTGCTTCCGTCAGCATGAGCTTCCTGGAAGACGACGAGCTTGTTCACCATGGGTTCGGTGCGTGTCCGAGGACGTCCGGCAGAGGCTGGTGGAATCATAGGGTCATCAAAGGCCTGCCGTACAGCATCCGCCACCTCTTGACGAGTCATGGTCTCGATCTCACGCAAGTCTGCCGAGGATTCTACAGTACTTGGCCACACTCTGGAAATGGTCAGCAGGTGAACTTTGTGCTTGAAGTTCTTCACCTCTGCCCCGAGTCCTTGCAGCCAGGTCGCCAGTTGGTCCTGCGTGGCTGCCTGATCATGGACTTTGGGGGTAACTTCTTCTCCAGCAGAAACCACATCAACCGGCTCGCTCATCAGGACCGCGGAGGCTTAAGATTCGTGACTGCTCTGGGCCAAAACCAACTGCTTGCCGGCTGAAGCGTCACAGAAACCACAGAGCTGTGATGCAGGTTATTTGACAAGCATGGTTATGTGTCGAGCCGTGGAAAGTAAGACTGGGCGGCGCACCTGGACGTTCGCCATCAGGACAGAGACTGCAGAGCCAGGATGTTGTTGCAAGACTCCTGCACCGAATGACACCATGGGACATGAACGTTGCACTGCGCGTCGGTTCCAGAATTGGTGGCTACGCATATACTATTTGACCCACCCTCTTCATGTTGAGTTTTCCAATTCCAAACCTGCCGGTGGTCAGATTCCTCAAGTTTTTCCAGTTCCTAATCCCCGGGTGTTCAAATTCCTCAAGTTTTTCCAGTTCCCAAATTCCCGGGTGTTCGAGTTTTTCCAGTTCCTAATCCCGGTTGTTCAAATTCCTTGAGTTTTTAGTTCCTAATCCCCGGGTGTTCAAATTCCTCGAGTTTTTCCAGTTCCTAATCCCCGGTTGTTCAAATTCCTCGAGTTTTTCCAGTTCCTAATCCCCGGGTGTTCAAATTTCTCGAGTTTTTAATTCCCAATCCCCGGGTGTTCAAATTCCTCGAGTTTTTCCAGTTCCTAATCCCCGCTTGTTCAAATTCCTCGAGTTTTTCCAGTTCCTAATCCCCGGGTGTTCAAATTCCTCGAGTTTTCCCAGTTCCTAATTGCTGTCCCAGTTCCTTTCCAGTTCCTTTCCAGTTCCTTTTCCAGTTCCTTTTCCAGTTCCTAATTAGGATTTGTTGCGTTTTCTCAGCAATTGCTTCTTGACCATGAATTCATTTAAAGAAAAAGAAAAAAGTATTTATTTCTTTTCTATTTTCAGCAACTTGGAATGACTGAGAAAACACAGCAAATCCTAATTCGGAACTGGAAAAGGAACTGGAAAAGGAACTGGAAAGGAACTGGAAAGGAACTGGAAAGGAACTGGGACAGCAATTAGGAACTGGAAAAACTCGAGGAATTTGAACAACCGGGGGATTAGGAACTGGAAAACTCGAGGAATTTGACCACACGGAGATTAGGAACTGGAAAAACTTGAGGAATTTGATTATACTCCAGGAACTCATGACCACCCGGGGATTAGGAACTGGCAAAACTCGAGGAATTTGACCGTTGAGTTAGAAAGATTCGAGGATTTTGGTTATGTGAGCTGGACAGTGTTGAGGACTTCAACCGCCGAGGAAAAGGAAGTTGGGAAACGCAGGCCAGACAGCAACATGAAGCGCGAAAGTGCGAAGGCCCTGCGCAACCTGTTTTTTGCATTGCACTGGTGCGATATACAGGCAGTCGACATGGACGTCCTCTGGGGACAAATCCGGCTTCTCATACAGCGGCCGGAAGTGCACCCCGTGTGCCCAAAATGCCCGGCTGATGGTTTTGAGGCTGCACTTCAGCTTCAGCTCCTTCTTCAGCACTGCGACAGTGACCTCTTTGCCCTTGGCCTGACGCAGCAGCTTCTGGTACGCCTTCTCCATCTGCTTGTACTTGTTCTCCGTAATGATGACTTTGGGCCCCACCCGCCCGGACTTCGTCTTGTTCTTACGGAAGAGGTGCTTGGACACTGTGTCAGTGGAGCGGCCCACCGCTGCTGCAACCTTCTTGACGCCAAGGCCATCGGAATGAAGGTGCTTCATGAGCTCCTCTTCAATTGGCGACACGTGCACGAACGCGGTATCCTTCTTCATGGCCTTCTTGCCCGTCACAGGAAGAAGGATCTGCCGGATGGCTTTGGGGCCGTACCCGAGCTGCTTCATGCGTGCACTGACGCGGTTGGCCAGGTCCACTCCCAAGTTGCAGATTTTGGGCGCCATGGACGGCGCACAGGCAAATCTGCAGCGTTTGTAGCGCGCAAGGGCAAGAGCTGAAATGTGCTGCAGCAACGACATGCTAGCTTTCTGAGGCAAGCAAACATTACTGCCATGCCTCAGTCCACTTGTCCAGGTACGCGCGAAAGACAGATGAATCAGTGAGGACAGGAAGCAGATGTTTCTGGGAGCGGCATTGCTCGGCATTTGGTTTGGTTTTCGACAGGCAACTGACTGCTCAGAGAAAAGCAAATGCGAACGACAAGCAGATGGCCAAGTGAGGACATTGCGCAGCAGACGGATGTTGCCGAGAGCGACATTGCGCGGCACGCGGGTTTGCGCCATGCAACTGACTAGCAGACCAGTGAGGACAGGAAGCAGATGTTTCTGGGAGCGGCATTGCTCGGCATATGGTTTGGTTTTCGACAGGCAACTGACTGCTCAGAGAAAAGCAAATGCGAAAGACAAGCAGATGGCCAAGTGAGGACATTGCGCAGCAGACGGATGTTGCCGAGAGCGACATTGCGCAGCACGCGGGTTTGCGCCATGCAACTGACTAGCAGACATTCTTTCACCTTTCTAAGACAAAAGCGATGGAAAAAAAACACGACAGACAAGCTTATTTTTCTGGGAGTGAAGTGAGGACATTGGGCAGCAGACGAAAGACAAGCAGATGTTTCTAGGAGAAGACAACTGAAAAACTAGCTACCCAGACAGTAGATGGACAAATTAATCAAACCACCAACAGACATGGCGCACACCCCCAGTACCCCCCAATGTCAATGTTACACTGCGCACGAGCACTTTTCATGTCATCGGGGTTTGATTTAATTCGTCCACCCAGCCTGATCCTCCAAACGGGCAATAACATTGAAATCGAGGGGGCAAGGGGGGCATTATAACTGTAAGGGTTTGATTAATTCGTCCACCTACGGTACGGCCAGCGTTGGTCGGCAATGGTCACGCAGACGCTATCTTTTCACGAATTTCATGCGTGGTTGCACGTGCATAGACGCAAATTGAAAGGTATGGCACAGACTGGCACAGACTACAAAGCAGACAGGAAGCGGCGCTGCTCGAATGGCAGAAGTTTGCTGAAGGCTGCCAGGGCTTGCCAGTCACTGGGGGTAAGCTCTGCAACATTGAGAGCACCCAGGGCAGAGACCTCAGCTGCCAACAGCAGGACTTTTTGCTTGGGCAAACTGGCCCGCAAAGCCAGCTCAGTCAGACCTTGGACAGGCTCATGTTGATGACCGGGCGGCGCGCATGGAAGAGTTGGGATGCTCAGGGCTTCGGCAGCATCGTGCTCTGTAGCCCCGCTGCGCACCCAGCGACTCAAGCAAACTTCACAAGGAACCGTTTCCTTCAACTGCGCAATGGTCTCTGTGCAGTTGAAAATGAGGACCCTGCTCTTCATGTGCCGGATGTCCTCCTCGTCCACGCCAGGCAAGGGCTTCCATAGATCCTGGGCTTTTGCCGTGAGGAGACAACCACGGTGCCACTCGAAATCCACATTCCCATCGTTAAACGACTGCGACACCTGCACCTCGAAGGGCTGCCCTTGGAATAGGCTGAGAAAAGTGGTGACTGGCACAGTTCTCTGACCGTATTCCACTGGGCGGAAGTCATCCCAGAACAGGAACTTCTTGTCTTTCAGAATGTTCCGGAGGGAGAAGGAAGACCCCAGCGCGGGCTTGCGGCTTGTGGAAGACCTGGCCAAATCCAAACAGGCTGTCAAAAGGCAGGACTAAAGTGGACTTCCCGGAGTTGGTTGGGCCGACGATCATGGGCGTGCGCGTCGTCTTGGAGGGACCAGCTAGCAAGATGTTTCTGAGGGCCACTGCCAGCTCAGACCGAGACAATGTTGAGAAGTTGGCCTGAAAGAAGTTGGCAGCTGCGTGAGCGTAGGTGCAAGCATCACCATGTGGGCACGGACATTCCGCCAACTCGCAAAGCCTTTCCCAATCAGAGTTGCGATCGTTGGCTGCCTTTTGCCTTGCCAGTCCCCATTCCTGCGCCTCAGCTAGGTAGTCCTTCAAGTACCGCTGCCGCTGATGCACAAAAAGCTGGGCCTGTTCAGTCCCATGGTTCTGAACGTATTCCAGCACGGCAGCCTGGGTTTCGAGGCCTTCGGCTAGGATCAGAGATGTCAGATCCAGCTTGTTGAAGCGCTGCCTCTTCTGCGAAGCAGCTTCTGCCGTTCGCTCGGCCCCCTCTCGGCGCCTTTTCCAGATCTCTGCATTCCAAGGACGCTGGGACTCCGCAAACAAGTCCAGGGCATCCCATCCCAAACTCTGCGACCACGAGACAGGGTTAAGGTCCACATCTGGCTTTGACAGGGTGGCAATGTAGCCATACCGAACCGCACTCCAGAACTGGGTGTGTGTGCTGGAAAAGTGGCATGCCAAATGGTTCCTGGCTCGCAGTGTGTGCTTGGCAGTGGCCCAAGTCCTTGGCTGGGCCAACTGCACGGCTACATGGAAGTGCTTGCTTCCGTCAGCATGAGCTTCCTGGAAGACGACGAGCTTGTTCACCATGGGTTCGGTGCGTGTCCGAGGACGCCCGGCAGAGGCTGGTGGAATCATAGGGTCATCAAAGGCCTGCCGTACAGCATCCGCCACCTCTTGACGAGTCATGGTCTCGATCTCACGCAAGTCTGCCGAGGATTCTACAGTACTTGGCCACACTCTGGAAATGGTCAGCAGGTGAACTTTGTGCTTGAAGTTCTTCACCTCTGCCCCGAGTCCTTGCAGCCAGGTCGCCAGTTGGTCCTGCGTGGCTGCCTGATCATGGACTTTGGGGGTAACTTCTTCTCCAGCAGAAACCACATCAACCGGCTCGCTCATCAGGACCGCGGAGGCTTAAGATTCGTGACTGCTCTGGGCCAAAACCAACTGCTTGCCGGCTGAAGCGTCACAGAAACCACAGAGCTGTGATGCAGGTTATTTGACAAGCATGGTTATGTGTCGAGCCGTGGAAAGTAAGACTGGGCGGCGCACCTGGACGTTCGCCATCAGGACAGAGACTGCAGAGCCAGGATGTTGTTGCAAGACTCCTGCACCGAATGACACCATGGGACATGAACGTTGCACTGCGCGTCGGTTCCAGAATTGGTGGCTACGCATATACTATTTGACCCACCCTCTTCATGTTGAGTTTTCCAATTCCAAACCTGCCGGTGGTCAGATTCCTCAAGTTTTTCCAGTTCCTAATCCCCGGGTGTTCAAATTCCTCAAGTTTTTCCAGTTCCCAAATTCCCGGGTGTTCGAGTTTTTCCAGTTCCTAATCCCGGTTGTTCAAATTCCTTGAGTTTTTAGTTCCTAATCCCCGGGTGTTCAAATTCCTCGAGTTTTTCCAGTTCCTAATCCCCGGTTGTTCAAATTCCTCGAGTTTTTCCAGTTCCTAATCCCCGGGTGTTCAAATTTCTCGAGTTTTTAATTCCCAATCCCCGGGTGTTCAAATTCCTCGAGTTTTTCCAGTTCCTAATCCCCGCTTGTTCAAATTCCTCGAGTTTTTCCAGTTCCTAATCCCCGGGTGTTCAAATTCCTCGAGTTTTCCCAGTTCCTAATTGCTGTCCCAGTTCCTTTCCAGTTCCTTTCCAGTTCCTTTTCCAGTTCCTTTTCCAGTTCCTAATTAGGATTTGTTGCGTTTTCTCAGCAATTGCTTCTTGACCATGAATTCATTTAAAGAAAAAGAAAAAAGTATTTATTTCTTTTCTATTTTCAGCAACTTGGAATGACTGAGAAAACACAGCAAATCCTAATTAGGAACTGGAAAAGGAACTGGAAAAGGAACTGGAAAGGAACTGGAAAGGAACTGGAAAGGAACTGGAAAGGAACTGGGACAGCAATTAGGAACTGGAAAAACTCGAGGAATTTGAACAACCGGGGGATTAGGAACTGGAAAACTCGAGGAATTTGACCACACGGAGATTAGGAACTGGAAAAACTTGAGGAATTTGATTATACTCCAGGAACTCATGACCACCCGGGGATTAGGAACTGGCAAAACTCGAGGAATTTGACCGTTGAGTTAGAAAGATTCGAGGATTTTGGTTATGTGAGCTGGACAGTGTTGAGGACTTCAACCGCCGAGGAAAAGGAAGTTGGGAAACGCAGGCCAGACAGCAACATGAAGCGCGAAAGTGCGAAGGCCCTGCGCAACCTGTTTTTTGCATTGCACTGGTGCGATATACAGGCAGTCGACATGGACGTCCTCTGGGGACAAATCCGGCTTCTCATACAGCGGCCGGAAGTGCACCCCGTGTGCCCAAAATGCCCGGCTGATGGTTTTGAGGCTGCACTTCAGCTTCAGCTCCTTCTTCAGCACTGCGACAGTGACCTCTTTGCCCTTGGCCTGACGCAGCAGCTTCTGGTACGCCTTCTCCATCTGCTTGTACTTGTTCTCCGTAATGATGACTTTGGGCCCCACCCGCCCGGACTTCGTCTTGTTCTTACGGAAGAGGTGCTTGGACACTGTGTCAGTGGAGCGGCCCACCGCTGCTGCAACCTTCTTGACGCCAAGGCCATCGGAATGAAGGTGCTTCATGAGCTCCTCTTCAATTGGCGACACGTGCACGAACGCGGTATCCTTCTTCATGGCCTTCTTGCCCGTCACAGGAAGAAGGATCTGCCGGATGGCTTTGGGGCCGTGCCCGAGCTGCTTCATGCGTGCACTGACGCGGTTGGCCAGGTCCACTCCCAAGTTGCAGATTTTGGGCGCCATGGACGGCGCACAGGCAAATCTGCAGCGTTTGTAGCGCGCAAGGGCAAGAGCTGAAATGTGCTGCAGCAACGACATGCTAGCTTTCTGAGGCAAGCAAACATTACTGCCATGCCTCAGTCCACTTGTCCAGGTACGCGCGAAAGACAGATGAATCAGTGAGGACAGGAAGCAGATGTTTCTGGGAGCGGCATTGCTCGGCATTTGGTTTGGTTTTCGACAGGCAACTGACTGCTCAGAGAAAAGCAAATGCGAACGACAAGCAGATGGCCAAGTGAGGACATTGCGCAGCAGACGGATGTTGCCGAGAGCGACATTGCGCGGCACGCGGGTTTGCGCCATGCAACTGACTAGCAGACCAGTGAGGACAGGAAGCAGATGTTTCTGGGAGCGGCATTGCTCGGCATATGGTTTGGTTTTCGACAGGCAACTGACTGCTCAGAGAAAAGCAAATGCGAAAGACAAGCAGATGGCCAAGTGAGGACATTGCGCAGCAGACGGATGTTGCCGAGAGCGACATTGCGCAGCACGCGGGTTTGCGCCATGCAACTGACTAGCAGACATTCTTTCACCTTTCTAAGACAAAAGCGATGGAAAAAAAACACGACAGACAAGCTTATTTTTCTGGGAGTGAAGTGAGGACATTGGGCAGCAGACGAAAGACAAGCAGATGTTTCTAGGAGAAGACAACTGAAAAACTAGCTACCCAGACAGTAGATGGACAAATTAATCAAACCACCAACAGACATGGCGCACACCCCCAGTACCCCCCAATGTCAATGTTACACTGCGCACGAGCACTTTTCATGTCATCGGGGTTTGATTTAATTCGTCCACCCAGCCTGATCCTCCAAACGGGCAATAACATTGAAATCGAGGGGGCAAGGGGGGCATTATAACTGTAAGGGTTTGATTAATTCGTCCACCTACGGGAGGGAAAGCAAACTGATGGGGGGTTACTCCCGGGTTTGCGGAATTCAAGCATTTTTCAGGTACGCATGGTCAGGGGTACCTCTTGCCGTTAGGCGAGGGTACTAATGGACATACGTTATCTTTTATTTCATGGCTTCTGATAAGAATTAAACTTCTTGCATTGTTGATGCAAACAGTTGTGACCTAATGTCGTCATGTGGACTTTTCCACAAGGTTTGTTGGACAGCGTTACCCCGATTAATTCGGGGTGGTGGCGGGAATTTAATGCCCGGGATGTCGCGCAACTGCCTTTGTGGGTTTGCTCCACCGCTGACGGCGGTAGTGTCCAGCTGTTTGCGGACGCATGCGAGCAGTTAAATCCTATCAGTAAATGGCACGCTCCACCCGTCATATGACGGGCTCCTCGTGAGGGGGGTGTGATTAGCCATGGTTCATATCATCATCAGGGACGTCGCGTTAGTGACCGACCTGTGGTGTTTTGGCTCAAGTTTTGGATCCGGCGCGCCTCGGATGAGCGTCGCCGGGCCCTCACGTCGACCGCCTTCGTGTCGGAGGAGAAAGAGACTTCGGCCCGGGGTAGGTTGGTGGGGATCGCCCGTGCGGTTCATCGTCGATCTAGGTTGCGGGTATCCTTTTCTACTTTGGTTATTTTCCCTTTTGGTTGTTGTTCTCTGGTGTGTGGGAAACCCTGATCTTTGGGACCGGGGATTGGTTTGCTTTTGGGGAACCTTTCTTTTGTGGCTTGTTTACCCCAACTTACCCATTGCCTGGGCACAGGCTCGTGCCCGAATCACACATTTACACATTCTCCCTGGGCAGCACAAGTGTTTTGTTTTACAAACCCAACCTCCGGGAACAAGTGCCATCACGCATTCCGCCGAGTGCATCGCCTTTCGCCTTTGAAGCATCAGCTTTTGAGTCGGTTTGAATTGAGCTCGCCTTCGGGAGGACTTCTAGGGGTGCCGTCACTGGTCAGGTCCATATTAGGTATTATTAGGTCCTCGATTCGGTTACATCAAGGTGGTGGAAAATAGCTTCAGTGATGAAGAAGTGGGTCGTCCCAATGACTGCTTCATCACTTCAAAGGGCATCCCCTTAGCATCACAGGCAAAAATGGCAGCCCTCCCATTTTACCCAACCATGGCCAAAGGCCTCCAGGTAATTGCACGCGTATGCCAGTAATGTACACCTCCAATAAAGTCCTTCGCACATGATGGCTTTTGCGAGTAGGGAAATGAATCTAAAGTGAGGGGCGCTCACGGTTTCCTAAGAGTGGGCTGCCCTACAGCCCAGATTTGGCCATCGTAGACAAGGGGCAGTCGCAGAAAGGGTACTTCATCTCGCTGTCTGAGATGGCAGTTTGTATTGCAAGAATTGTGCGGTAGTCTGCACAAGAGCCAACAACTCGGACGTTTGAACATTTGAAAGAACAACATCAGGCAGCGGCAGAGTTGTATTCGTGAACGACATTCTACTTATGGGCCTTCGCACAAGAACAACCCCTACGCTTGGCTTGATTAGTACAACATTGTTACGCAGATCGTGGAATGTGTCTGTTTCGACCACTGGGAATGCTGGTATAGTGAAATGTCGACAATGCAACGCAAGCTATCCTTGGAACGTGCAGCACCATGCGCCACACAGAAAGACCAATTGGGCCAAGCAGCGCGAAAGCACACCACCAGGCTGGATCAGTGAGACCGTGTGCAAGAACCAGCTTGTCACACTGCTTTTGAACGGGTGGTGGATGTTTTCTTACTGTAATGCAGCAGCAGCAGCAGCAGCAGCAGCAGCAGCAGCAGCAGCAGCAGCATCAGCAGCAGCAACAGAACGGCGGCAGCAGGTGAAGATGCGGCAGTGCAAGCGCATAGGCGTAGAATCCAGTATGCGCAGTGAAAATGCATCCTCGAGCGCAAAGACTCAACATTCTTAGGCAGGACCTCTCAAATGTGGAGAGGCTGGTCGCATCTCAAGAACTTCGAGGACACGAAACGAGTTTTTTTCTGGCAAAGGTGCGGCGTCGGCCAACCTATCCCGGCCAAGAATATATATATATATATACACATACACACGTATAAATAAATAAATAAATAAGTAAATATATATATATATATATATATTTATTTGAGGGCGCCGCTCAGTTTTGATCGGCTTGTTGCACGATGTCCTTCCGCTGAACTGGAGTCCCGGGCAGAGAGAGTGCCCAAGGCTTGGCAAGGTGATCCATTTCTTTCCTCAGGAACCCGCTTGGATACCTTCACCCAACATGGACTGGGGATGATTGGGTCCTTTCAAGAGGGACATGGTTGTGCACGAGCTTTCAGGCAGGTTCCAAGAGGGTAAAAATGTAGAATTACATTCGCATCGCTCACTCTGCGGGAGCAAACTACCTCGGTCCACCCAAAATATTGATTATGGCCACCCCAAGATTTATTTGTCTTCCGGTCTGAGATTGACATGAAGAAACCCACTTTTGGACTTGCTTGTTTTTGCACCACTGAACCCTCTAAAGCCCTTTCTCTTATGGCTTGTCCACGCGTTGTCCCCCCGGATTAGGTTTAAAGCCGTAAAATCGTAGGGGCTTCGCTCACTTGTTTTTCGCACCAAAAACATCAACTGAACAAGCCGCGGTGCCTGATAGGCAGATCCCTACGAGGCAGAGCCGGAGATGCGTACATGAATCCAAGTGCAGGGACGGCCTTTTTGTGGGGCGTCCGAAATAGAGAGAGGTTTCTTGGCTCCACATACTGTTTCGCAGTGTATTCCGTTGCTGTTCTTCCTCTTCTTGCTTTTGTGGGGGGTTCTACTTGAGTCACGGAACCAGCATCTAATGTGATCAGTTTTTCTGCACCCTTGTCCTTTGGGCAAGTGAGTCTCCAATCCGCTCAACTTTGAAGAGTCAAAAATCAGGTCAACCAAGCTTAAACCTTGTTTGTTGTGTTTCAGCGGTTTAGCGGGAAACCACACGGACAACTTTCACTTTAGGGGTTGCCCCTATTTTGACTCATACATCTGAGGTCTGAGACATAATTTGACAATATATTTTCGTTTGTGAACCCAGGGGTTCTTTCTCCCCCGCAAGCTTTGCTTTTTGGAAGTCCCCAGGTCCTGTTCCAAATCACACGGCCATTAGACAGTCGTGATATGTTCCCCTTTGGAAGCATCACCTTTTGGGCAAAAAACACGTTCTCTTTGGTAGGGTGTGTTTTGTTGTTTTAAGGGGGCATAAGGAACGGCTTTACCAGGGACTCCTCCGAATGGTCGGTTTCATGTTGGTCCCTTTCAGTGCGCCAACTGAGGGGCACCAAGTTTGGTCGACTCATTCACGGGGAATCTTCCCAGCGCCGTCGCTGTGGTCTCGGGAGTATGTTGCTTTTTATTTCTTTTTGAAACATATTCAGAAAACACATTTTTTGGTGTACCCTGGGAGTGGGAGGATTCTTTTTCCGGTGAAGTTGTCACGGTTGGATGCGACATTCGTACCGCATCATGCGAGCATTGTTGCCCTGATGGTTTCAAAGGAGACCGACAAGGACCACCCGGCTCGGGTGGCTTGAAAGCCAAGATCTTGGGCGGGTTGGAAAATGATCCCCGCACGAGCCACCCACTTAGCCAAGGAACACGCTGCAAGCCAGGTGCACCAGCTCCATGGGCTCCGGGTCTTTGCGCGTTTGCTGGCGAAGGGCGCCAACTCGCAGCTGCAGCCTTTGAAAATGCCCGGGCACTTGGCTTTGGCTTCCTCCACGTTTTAAAGGGGCGATAGACGCCCACAACAAATCATTCCAAATCCCCTTGGGGTCTCCTCAACCATTCAACATGTTAGGGTACACTATATATATATACAAATATGGACCGGAATCTGATTCTGCAGGTCATTTCTTTGTGTACGCCAGACTTGGGCGAAGGGTTGGGCAGGTTGGCCAAAGAGGGGGTTTGGTCTTTGGTCTTTTGGTCTTTGGGCGGATCGGCTTTTCGCCTCTGGCCCCGAGAAGCATGCATTGTGTTGTCAAGCCTTATGGCTTACTTGGGGGGTTGGCAATGGTAGCTTTGCCTTAGGCCAAAAGGATTTG